CAAATATCATCTTTCACACCTATATGTTGTTACAGTTTGAGATTTTTTAAACTTCATGTGGACATTAACAGTAATCGTGTTCTTCATTTTGTTTTCGGCGGCAGATATGAAGAGATCATATTCATCATTTTGTTTTCCAGAGTTCTTCTTGGGATTTCTCAGGATTTTTCATTTTCTTCTTCAACATCTTATTCAGATTACGATCTACCAATTTCTTCATTTTGTTACTTTTAGAATTGTTCCTCTGATAGAGAAAGAGAAAAAATGAGATTAAGAATTATGGGATCCATTCTCCATTTAGTTACTCTTTAGTTGTTTGTAGTTATAAAAACTACTTTAGGAGCAATAACTGCTCTATTTTTTAATAAAAATTTTGAAACTGCCCTATGATGAAAATAACTCTTATTTTTCAACATCATAATTTTATTTTCTCTTTTATTTTATGTATCACTGATTTAGTTTTTTTTTTTTTGCAGATATACAGATCCAATAATCAATAGTGATGTATTGTGTTTAACTATGTTCACAATTGGGATACACTTGGGATCCAAAATTATGCAGGAATGGGCTCCTACCTAGGTATACCAGAGGATATTAGTGGATCGAAATGTAAGCTGTTTGCTTTCTTAAAAGACAAACTTAGGAACAGAGTGAATGGATGGACGGGTAGGTGGTTGTCTAGAGGCGGAAAGGAAGTTATGATCAAGTCAATCCTGCTGGCACTACCAACTTATGTTATGTCTTGCTTTTTGCTTCCTTTGGAGATATGTGATGCCTTGGCTAGTGCCATTGCACAGTTCTGGTGGAGTTCAAACCCGCCAAAGAGAGGCTTATATTGGACAACTTGGGACAAGTTATGCCTATCTAAAGAGGAAGGAGGAATTGGCTTCAGGATGATCCATGAGTTTAACCTGGCATTATTGGCAAAGCAGCTGTGGAGATTGGCACAAAACCCAGATTCTTTGGTTGCTCGAGTTATGAGAGGGCGATATTATCGACAAAGCTCGCCTTTGCGGAAGCTTCCTGTCAGTAGTCCATCGTATGTGTGGACAAGCATATCGGCTGCGCGAGATTTACTGTTATTGGGGGTAAGAAATAAGATTCATTCAGGCTATGAGGTTAAGGTATGGGAGGATCCATGGATCCCCACAGTTCCAGCAAGATCAGCGCGCGCATCTGCTCCGGTCCTGCACCCGAATATGCGAGTAAGTGATCTTATCAATCAAGAAACAAAGGCTTGGGATCTGGAAAGATTAGGAAATTATGTCGATGATGCCGATTTACCTCTCATAAGGAGTATGGCTATTAGTTCAACCCATCGACGGGATACTCATTGCTGGAGCTATACAAGGAGTGGGCAGTATACTGTCAAGTCCGGATATTGGGTGGCTCGTAATATACTAATGAAGAAGGAGGGGAACCCGGTGGATGAACCCAGCATAAAAGGGCTTCAAGCGCACGTTTGGAAGGTTAAAGCACCCCCGAAAATGTGTCATCTTATGTGGCAGATCATTTCAGGGCAGGTTGCTGTTACGAGTGCGTTGAATCATAGACACATAAGATCCGATAATTTCTGTCCAAGATGTGGAGAACCGGATGAAACAATTGCACATGCAATTTTTCAATGCCCACCGGCTTTACAGGTGTGGGCCCTATCATCTATACCCACTAGCCCAGCTTTATTTCCCCTGGAGAGCACATATACGAACATGGATTACCTGTTCTGGCGGAAGAAGATCATTTGTGGGCCAGACCTAGACAAGGATCCTTATCCTTGGATAATATGGTACATTTGGAAGGCTCGAAATGATAAGTTATTCAGGGGAATAGACAGAGACCCTCTGGAACTGGCCCGATATGCGGAGAGTGAGTGCCTTGCCTGGTTCCAGGCTAATGAGCAGGAGGCTATGATTACACATGAGAACGATGATAATGGATGTCAGGCCATAAGCCTACGAGGAATATGTATGATAGACGGTTCTTGGACCTCTATGGATCAGTTCTCTGGTTGTGGTTGGGTCTAGAAGGACAGCATGGGAAATAATCAGTTGATGGGGATGCGCAATATGAGGAGAGTGGAGTCGGCTTTGCATTCGGAGCTGGAAGCGCTGCGGTGGGCAATGGAGAACATGCTTCAACATTTGCCATGTCAGAGCTTTGGGACGGACTGCAAGGAATTGATAGCGATGCTCATGAATCCTCATGGATGGCCAAGTTTTTCGACGGAATTGGAGAGGATCTCGACGTTGAGGATTTGTTTCCCAGAATTCAAAATCTCTTATGTACCTAGATCTCTAAATGCTGTGTCTGATCATCTAGCTAGGACTGCAAGATCCTTCTATCGTGAGCTTTTGTTTGTTGGTTGTTCTATTCCGGTCTGGATTCCCAGACCACCTCAAGCTTGAGTAATAGATCAGCCTTTCGTTGTCAAAAAAAAAACTATGTTCACAATTTTTAATGTACATTGTGATAACAATAATAATTTTAATGTACATAGTGATGTATTGTGTTAACATACATAATGTACACAATTGTGCACTCCAGATCCTGCAATATGCAAATGAGCACAATAGTGCACCATATTCACCTAATATACAATCAAAAGGAAGAAGAAGAGAGGAGAGATAATACAAGTTGTCAAATGTGGAACCATCTTAGTTACTTAGTTAGCAATTGTTTAGTTTTAATTACAAGAAAATACCTCAGTAGCTTAAACTGTCTTTTCTTATAATAAAAACATCAAAACTGCCTCTGAATGTTAATAATTCAAAGAAATAAAAAAAATTTAGGTTGAACTGTATAACACTGAGTACAATTGCTTTACTCTTATGACTTAGTTATCTTAATAGATTCTTAGAGCAACCCTAACGGAGTATAGAATTGATTATACTTATTAAAAAATGTAGAAAATATTAAAAAAAAGTTATGTCAGAGAAACAATCGATTATGTGCGGAGAACTTCAACAAAAAATATGATACCCTTTTTACACATATTACTCTTTTACTGGGTTACGTAAATTATATGATTTCAAATTTTATTTTTAACTAAAATACATTGTGCTTTTCACGGCTATCCGCGATCGGACTGACAAACTCTGTAACTAATTTAGTAGTTCGATTTGGTTTTAAGAAATATCCACTAATTAAAAATCTGATAAAACCCGCTAAAACCCCTAAATATCCAATGATTCAGTTATCGGTTGAACCATCATGTGAAACAATAAATAATTTTTGTTTAGGCTTTTTAAAAAAAAAATTAATTACTTTATTAATTATTGTTTGTATTCCAAAAATAAACTTTTAGGTTTTTATTTTTAGCTTTTATTTTTCTCGTCAAATTATCGTTTGCTATCAATTATACTTTTTATCTCAGTCAACTTTAAATAAAAAAAACTTGTTGATTTCTTTTATAGTGAATAACATTTTTTTTAACCTTCTTTTATCTTATAAACTATGTTTTTATTCTTTTCATGAATCATATACTTTTATCTTTTTCTTGATTTTACATGTTTCTAAATAAATAATTATTATTTGTGAATAAAATTCATTCATTTTTTTTCCATTTTGAAAAATCGTATATAGTATCAAATAAACTATTTAGATTTTGATAAACATCTCATTCATCTCATTATGTTTCCTAAAGAAATTATGATGAACAATGATAGATATTTAAAGTTTATGAGATTTAAGCTTGTTATGCCTAACTTCTAATTTCTTATAAGAAGTTGTTAAATAATTTAAATATGTTATATGTGAAATCAAATTAAAAGAATAATTATAAGACCAAATTTAAATATTTTCTATATTTTTAAGAAATGTAAATTTCTCATATATTTTTAATATCTACTATATAGCTGTATTTAAATTAATTAATGTATTAATCCGCGATTCGTCCACGATCGATCCAGTAATCTGGTGACTGAATTGTTCTTCGGTATGTTCTTCGGTTCAGTATCCATATCGGGTTTAAAAACATTGAAAATAAATAAAAATTATTGATAATAAAGTAATTAGAAACCTTGACAACATACTCTCTGTTAATCATGCTTTTATACACTTAGATGACTGACTCTCATTGGTGTTGTGGGGTAAGTTTGCTTCAGATGTGAATGAATCTATCTAGCTTCGTGGTCAACATTCAGTGCTATGTGTAAGATTTTGAAATATAAAAATTTGCAAAGCTAGATATTTTTATTTATGTATATATATATCTATATATATTTACTGAATGTTGATTTCCTTTGTAAAAAAAGTAATACAGTGAAACCTCTATAAATTAATAATGTTATGACTACACCAAAATTTTATTTTTTTATTAATTTATAGAGATATTAATTTATAGATATACTAATTGAACCAAAAACTCAATTTGAGACTATAAAATTATATTAATTTATAGAGATATTTAGTGTATATTAATTTATCGAGTATTAATTTATAGAGGTTCTACTGTATTTATTTTTAAAAATACTATTATGTACATTAATAAATCATATTTTTGTATAAAAAGGTGATTATTATTTTGATAAATTTGAATTGAAAATAAATATTTACATCGTATTATAAGAAAATTAAAAGAAATTTTACATATATATGTAAAACGTTTTAACTTAGTAGTAATAGTTATACATAAAATAGAAAAATAGACTTCCTTTACATACTATATATACAAAAACATCCCAGAATACTATAACTATATATTAACAAACTACCTGTAAAACGATTAAAAATTTATACTTTATGTTTATAATCTAAATTTTAAAGTGTAGTTTTATATATATGATATGCAATCAATTACTTTTTAAATCAAATACAGACATATATATAGATGTTAAACTCAAAATGAAAATAATTGTCCTAAATTTTGTTACGTCCCATAAATGTAAAATTTTTAACAAAATGATTCTAGCTTCACACATTTTCAACCTACGTTTATTAAATATTTTATTATTGGACGGATTATTACCTAGTTTACTAATTACAACATACACTATTTAAGCTCATTCCTTGTACGTTATTTCTTCCCAATAAGAAACACTGGCGTCATGGAAAATAACAACAAGCACCACCTGCAATCTTAAAACTTATGTACAAACCAGTAAGAGACACAAAGGATTTTTGACCAAAAAAGAAAAAGAGAGACAAAGGAATAGTCAAATACCACAAATTTAGCACATTTTTTAAATTCCCAAAGAATTACTCTAAATTCAGTAACATGTTGAACTTAATATAAAAATGATTTTCTTGTTCGAATCAATTTAACATTCAATTAGAAAAGGTCGAAAACATGTTGATAAGATAATTTCAGATGACAGTGTTTGCTAAGATATACTTCGCCTGTTGTTTAGCCCTGAGCCTTTGACTGTTTACATTCCAAATTATTGAGATGCGATAACTAAACTCTGCTGGTTCCAACGAACCATTAATGGGCGCCATGTATCTGAGATGCAAAAGGTAGGTGTTACCGCTATAGACCATTTGAGAAAAAGGAAACACACACACAGAGATTAAGGAAACTGAATACTACATACCGACTTAAGCTTGAGAACTCGAAGTCTTAGAGGGTCTTTAACCATGCGGGCAAGTAGATTCCAACACTCAGACGAACATGTACACAGCTCTAGATGTTCAAGAAAGACGAAGGAAGGGCCTACATCATGGTATGGAATCTGTAACTCAAGCGAACAAACAAAGTAATATTAAAATGTCAGAAAACAATTAGGGTTATGAGTTATGACTTAGCTGATTCGGGATTAACAAAAGCTTACGTTTGAAAATCTAGAACACAAAGAGAGATGACGGACTGAGGCAAGAGATCCTATTAGACTCTCGGATTGATTACAAACAGCCTCAACATTCGCCTTGACAAGCTCCGGCATATTTGTGAACTGCAAATAGTTACTGTGACGGTCTTTAATGTTCAGGTACCTTAAAGAAGGAGCATTTATGACAAATCCATGAACACCCGCGGGTTGAGATCCCAGTTTTAAATAATTAATATATAAACTCGTCAAAGTAGGCACATTGATAGTGAAGATCTTCACATTGGAATATCCGGATCGTCTTACAACCAACTCTTCAAGAACTGGACAAATGCTTAGAAGCTTCTGAACAGATTCGTCCCTTGAGAACTTGACGGATAAAAGGCGAAGAGTTTTGAGAGACGACAACGACAAGGAACCATAAGCCGGAACATCCACGAGACTTAGCCTGCAGAGTATCAAGGTTTCGAGGGTTCCACATGCATACAAGATACTCGGCAGTTCCAGTGATGTGTAAAGCAACTCGATTCTCAACTCTCTCAAACCGCAATAAATTGCGGTTTCAACCAGAGAGGAGAACCTACGATAAGAGGTCTTATATCTATCCAAATCATCTGTGATAAGCTTGAAATCCAAGCTCTTTAGAACCTGAGGGTTACTAAAAGCCAAAGAGCTGGAAACCCATTTGGCAGAAAGCCTGTTAAGGTCCTTACTACCAATATTGAGTTTAGGCACCAACTTCCATAAAGACCGCCACCGTCCGGACAAGAAACTCGTTTCCATCACTTCTTTAAGAGAAAGTGACGACAGTATCTTTACGAGCAGATCATCTGGCAACTGGCTGATAATGTCCATCCTATGATTTCTCATTACGATGAAAGAGGAGACATATTAGCAGAAGTTTATGTAACCGTCATCAAAATGTCAGCCAAAAATGTTTTTTTTTTTTTTAATAATAATGAAAGACGAAGCATATTAGCCGAGTATACTACACAAAGACTAAAGGTTTTCAACTTTTGCGTCTATCTCCTCCGATTGATTCTATACGGTGGAACTGTTTATCTATCTTGTTATAAGGTAAGGTCTTCATGTTAAAACCCAGACAAGTTATAGACAAACCATATATGTACTCACTAAAATCCTACAGATATGCTTGTTCTTAAAATCAGTTTCTACAGACAACAACCAATGAGATCTGTAGGTTTGTAGAAAAACCCTAACTACCTCCACAAAGAGGTCAAAAATGCCCAATTAGAAGCACTAGGAGCGAAACTTTACAACCGATGAAATGAAATGAAATGAAATGAAATGAAATGGTGCATTACCTCGAGCTAAAGTGAAAAGCAGAAGGTAAACTCACGCATGTGATGATAGTCTTCGTCTCTTTTTCTTCGGTTACATAATTTATGTTGATGTTTCTTGGTTTTATCTTTGGAAAAAGCTTATCACCAGAGTTTACGTGTTCATCAGTGGCTTCTTTTGTCGATTTCTTACCTTTTAAAATTCTAGGATATCTATACTATTATTTGAAAAGAAAATTTGTTGATTTGTCATCTTCTCTATAATTTTAGTTAATTTTGCTTATTTGTCATATTATTCTAATTCTGACTAATGATTAATTGTTATTCTTAATAAATAATTTGAAAAATAAATTTGTTGATTTGTCAAATTCTCCATAATTTTAGTTAATTTTTCTTATTTCTCATATTATTATAATTCTGACTAATGATTAATTGTTATTCTTAATAAATATTTAAATTTATTAATATATAACTAACCATAAACTAAAACGAATTCATAAATAATTAAACATAAATTAGAAACGAATTGTTTTTGATGATTATCATTATCTAAAAATAGTTTGTATTAATTAACCATAAACCCAAATTGAATTAATATAAAAATAACCATAAATTAATTATTTTGTTAAACAATTATTTCAAAAGTCAATTTTCTAATTTATCATATTTTCCATAATTTTAGATAATTTTGCATATTTGTTATGTTTTAATGATTTTAACTAAAGATCAGATACAATCCTTAATGGATAATTAAATTTATTAATATATAATCAACCATAAATTAAAAAAAACTAATATATAAATAGTTTTAAAATACACAAATTTCATTCATTTGATGATTATCATTATTTTAAAATATTTATATTGATTAATTATAATCTATAACTGAATCAATATATAATTTACAATAAATTAAAAAAAAATTTCATTGATTTGATACTCATCATTATCTAAAAATAATTTATATTATGTTATAAAATATTTAATAACTTAATGAATATTTATATTTGTGAACATATTATTAACCCTTTGAATTTTATAACTATCATCCTATAAAAATAGTTTATCTTGTGTTATTCAAAAATTGATTTAACATTATAAATTTGTAAGGAAGTTTAAATTATAAAAGATAAGTCCTTAAATATATATTATTCATATATTAGTGTTTTCAGATTTATTTTCTGCGATCAAAGATAATTTTATTATATTAGAAAATAATATCTAAAATATTAATATTTAATTTATTACGAAATATTTACAAGCATTAGTGTTTTTACGATTATGTTAAGTGATAAAAATCTTATATTAGGTTAAAAATTTGTATATGTAAAATAAAGTTTTATTAAATATTTTGAATGTATGAAGTAATTTATTTTAATTATATTTAAACTAATAATATACTTACATTAAAATATTTGTAAAACTATTATGTCCGCATATGCAGGCAAAACATCTAGTTTTTAAATGAGATTAAATTAATCCTAAACTACAGCTCATCGCAATTTAAATTAAGTTTAAATTTATTTCTATATTCTATTTATTTTCCTGAAAAAAACATCATGAATCATTTCAATTTAAAGAAAGTTTTTTCTGTATAAGAATTTAAAAAGTGTTGGTTTATGGTTAACTGGGAAAAGCTGTGAATCGGACGGGTGGAGAGAGAGAGAGAAAGAGAGAGAGAGAGAGTATAATTGAGGTTGGCCCATTTTGTTTAGGGTTTCTCTTGGGTTTTCTCAGTTCTTCTTTGATGTAGGTGTAGCCCATATACTGGTGAGTGTAACACATTTATTGACAAGTTAGATTTCTATTTGGTTTTAAGTTCTCTTTTTGATTCTGTTTTGATTATAACTAGTTTTCATAAGTTTCGTTAGATTAGGATTCTATTATGTTGGTGTTATAAAAGGAGAACGTGTGAATTCTTCTTAGACTTTATTTTTTATTTAAGAAGAAAGAAATATTTTTCTCTGAAAAATTCTCTCACAGATTTATTCCCTATTGAGCTATTGTTGCAACAATTGATATCACAGACAAAGAATCCTAAACATTTCGTCTAAGAAGGATGTTCATAAACAACTTGATGACCAAGCAGAGGTTTTACGGAGAGAATTTGCCAACTTTCAGTCGGTGCTCCATGAATCAATACGATTTTGATGGAGGCTACATTGCGAACGCAGATGGAAGGTCCACCACAATTGATACGCCCTAAATCGAAGGATTATTTTAATTGGGTGTTGGATATGAATCGAGAAGGCAAACGGCACTTCTAGAACAGAGATGGATTGAAAGGATCGTCAAAAGATGCGGAATGTCTCTTGATATACCCAAGATCTAAGGCTAACCACCAAAGAAAGGATGAATGTGTTGGCTAACCACCAAACAACACACAAAGATGAAATGGGTGACCACCAAATCAACAAGTCGGTTCACACCAATGAACTAGCTAAAGAACTTTCTCTCTCATTCAGAGAAGAACAAAATTAAATTCAAAAACTTAAAATGATTTTATTCATAGAAGAGTTTACATATTTATACTACTTGTGGTCAAAAGAAATGACGAGTTTTCGTAGAAAACTAGAAACTTAGAAAACACAAACAAAGACTAAGACTTTTGACAAGAAATAAGTATGTTGTTGAATGTCCTTTGGTCTGACCACGACTTTGAATCCTTTTGTTGATATTTCTTGATGCAAATGGGCAGAAGACCATCAGCAAAGGCCTGGTCAAATTTGGTGTAAATCGGACCCAAATTGAATTTCTTATGAATTTTTATGTGGGCTGAAAAAGGTCCATTTCGCCCATCAACTAAACCAGTTCCATCTTCAGTGTCACTTAGCTTATCCAGCTCCAAGCTAGTGTCACTTAGCTCACTCATCTCATTCAGCTCGTCCATGGTTGCGTCATCTGATGGGTAAACCTCGGTTGGATCGAGTTGGTTGACAAGATCGTCTCCTTGGACAGGTTCTATGATCCAAGCAGGTTGGTGCTCGAACCGGGGCGCATCATTCCCTCTCTCTTCAAAATAATTTGTCCTCAAATCTGTAACATTAAAGGGAAAAGGGTTATAAGCAAAGGAAACATAATCAGAACATTGCTCACCTTGAGTTTGGTCCAGTTTTTGAATGGAAGAAGAGCTTTCTTGGTTTGCTTGATGACCATGGTTTTGTTCTTCATCTTGTCCTTCCTGCCTTGTCACAAAGCTTCCAAGACCAAAGTCATAGGCGCCAATATCAAGTACGTTCAAGGGACCAGAAAATTCATCTTTGTTCAAAACGTTTTTAGAATCTTTTTCAAACTGAAAAATCAGTTCAAATTACTTAGACTCTCTGGTTGTAAAACGTTTAGTTGCAAGCATGATTCATCAGAAAGTGATTCAAATTGAGAAGAAAATAAGTTCTTATGTTCACAAGATTTCAAACCTGCCATTGGCTTAAGTGCATAGTCATCGAAAATTGGCAATGGGTCTAAAAATTCTTCCTTTTCTGGCTCAGTTTCCAATTCGTCATTCTCCAAAGTCACCAACAGTTTCTGGATTTGGCACTTGTTAGCATAATGACCGATCCTAAGGCATTTGAAGCACCTGGTAGAATGAGCTTTGCTTGTGGGTTTCACAGCTTTGCTTTTATCAAAAGAAAACACATTAGTTTTCAAATCAGAATTTGAAAGAGAAGAAAAATTACTTTGCTGTTTTGGTTCGGAAGAAGTGTTGGTGTTTCCCTTCTTTTTGAGTTGCTGAATAGCAAAAATTGCTTTATGCAACATCTTCTCCAAACTGGCATAAGTCTGAATCTCATTCTGATCTAACATATCACGGTTGCTTCTCTTGGCTCTGGTGAAAGGACGATCACCACTTCTGACCCACTTCTCATCATCATCGAACCTGTTTTGTCTCTTCGTTTGGTTTCTTTGTTTCTACACAAAATCAAACCCATTAGAAGCAAAATGTTTCTTCTTTCCAAAACTATTTTGCTCTTTTTCTAACACGTTTTTAAAAGGAAAGTAAACGTCTTGTTGTGGTTTTGATTTATTGAGAAGTCCAAACATCCTGAAACACTTAACAAAAGAGTTAGCAAATAAAAATCCTCACACTCTCAAAGTGTTTAGCTCACGATCTTAAGGTGGTCACTCACAGTTCTTTCCAATGGTTCAAAGGATGATAAGCAGTCAAAATTTAGCAATCAAAAACCAAAACAACCTTTTATGGGTAAAAGAAAAGAGAAAGAAAGATGAAGAGATTTTTGTATGGATCCACCGTAACTGTCCTAAGCCTGGGTTTCTCCTCATCCATCAGGGTTTCTCTTCCACCACTCCCCTTGGATTTCTCCTCATAAGTGATTCAAGCCAAAACTTTTACTCTTTCTTTTTTTTATCGTTTTTTTCTAAAATAGGCGATCACAAGGGAGTAAAGGAACATCCCGGATCCAACAAGAAATAATAAAAGAAATTTGCGGAGAGATGAGAAGATGAAAAGATGAAATGAAAAAAAAACTGCCAAAGTGGTTCTGATACCACTTGATACGCCCTAAATCGAAGGATCACTTTAGTTGGGTGTTGGATATGAACCGAGAAGGCAAACGGCACTTCAAGAACAGAGATGGATTGAAAGGATCGTCAAGAGATGCGGAATGGCTCTTGATATACCCAAGATCTAAGGCTAACCACCAAAGAAAGGATGAATGTGTTGGCTAACCACCAAACAACAAACAAAGATGAAATGGGTGACCACCAAATCAACAAACCGGTTCACACCAATGAACTAGCTAAAGAACTCTCTCTCTCTCACTCAGAGAAGAACAAAATTAAACTCAAAAACATAGAATGATTTTATTCATAGAAGAGTTTACATATTTATACTAGTGGTCAAAAGAAATTAAGTGTTTTTGTAGAAAACTAGAAACTTAGAAAACACAAACAAAGACTAAGACTTTTGACTAGAAATAAGTGTGTTGTTGAATGTCCTTTGGTTTGACCACGACTTTGAATCCTTTTGTTGATATTTCTTGATTCAAATGAGAAGAAGACCATCAGCAAAGGCCTGGTCAAATTTGGTGTAAATCGGACCCAAATTGAATTTCTTATGAATTTTTATGTGGGCTGAAAAAGTTCCATTTCGCCCATCAACTAAACCAGTTCCATCTTCAGTGTCACTTAGCTTATCCAACTCCAAGCTAGTGTCACTTAACTCACTCATCTCATTCAGCTCGTCCATGGTTGCGTCATC